TTATGATTGATGATTAATCAATTAATTGCTCGAAACAACGTTGCCCATCTAAACTCCTAAACTTGAACTTAGATACCTTTCTACCATAACTTAGTTTTATGTTTCCAGAATAATCATACCCAATTTCATAAACTAACTAACTAACCACGATATCAATAAATAATAAACAAATAAACAAACAAACAAACAAACAAATAAATATAATGAATTGTAGTTTTTACCTTAGCATCCTATGCCTAACATCATCTCTAGTTACTTCATTAAAAGACTTTCCGGATCAAAGATCCCAATCTAGAAAAGACTCCTATCACATAAACAATACAAAAACAAAGAACTTAGAATTGAACTAAACAATAATTTCCACAACTTAGTAATACTCCTATTACATTAAAATACTCCTATTACATACCCAAAATCATTTCATTAACTTTCACAACTTAGTAATATCTATTTTTTAAAATATAGATTAACTTTCACAATTTAGTAATATCTATTTTTTAAAACTTTATAACAAAAAGAATTCAAAAAATAATCTCGAACGTAGCGTGCGGTCAGAATCTAGTATATCTATAATTGTGTAATCTATATGAACATTTTTGAAGTGCCTTTTGGAAAGTAACCTTTTATTTTGTATTATTTGCAATCATAAACCATTGCCATTTGAATGAATAACAAAAGTTTAAAGTAAAATTTAAAATTACATTATAATAAAAATTGCAAAACTGGAAATCAGTATTTATTACATTCAATAGAATTTTCTAAAATCTCACCCTAATAAATCAAATTATTCTCTACTATATTTATATTATCTTATTTTCTTTAAAATTTATATTATTACATAAAGCATATGTATAATAAAAATATATTTTTCCGCACATATTACAATTTGAATTTTTTAAAACGGACGTATATTACTCAATCGATACAAAACAATTTTTATTTACTAAACTATTGTTGATAATGTGTAGCACGGGTCATGTGATGGAACGTGTTATAATTTACATAATTATGATTTTAGCTGTTTTTATGGGTTGTCTGTTATAGTAAAACTCACAAAATAATTTAATCTGACACTAGACTATTTAAACGAAATATGTTATGCCAACATTATTTCATTATTTTGAATATTAGATTTATTTAATTAAGTTGATCATATTACGATTATATCAAAAATAAATTTTCATGTATTATTCTACGGGTTAAGTCAGGAATAACAATCAAAATACAGTAGTACAATACTTAAAAAATTAATAAAAATATATTTTAAAATACCGTCCCGCGTTATACTGCGGGTTAAAATCTAGTTTATTAACAAAACACTTAAGCCATCAAGTTAGAATAGTATGGATGGATTTGATTTACAATTAAGTGGTTCACATTGTTTTGTGTTTTGTTTGACTTTCACTACCAAAAAGACCTTGTTTGGGTCATCAAATTTAGGAGTGGAACAAAAGCCATTTTTTCCTGGAAAGTGAGAGAGTCAAAAAAATATAATAGGAAGAAAATGCGAGGAACTTAACCGGAAAGAGTTTTGGGCAAGGCTACACCACTCCTAACAAGACCACTTATTTATGTTACCTCTCGATCATCAAGACAAGAGAACCAAACCAATCAAATGTCTGAAACTGAAGTTACCCTTCAAAAGTTCGATGTCTTTCTGAGTTTCAATGGAGACGATACTGGTCGTAACTTCATCAGTTTTCTCTTCACAGAATTGATAAAAAAGAATGTTAAAATTCCACCCTTCAAATATGACCGGCAGATATCTCCGGAGCTCGAACGCATATCGCCTGAGCTCGAACGGGCCATTGGGGGTTCTAGATTCGCCGTCGTTGTCGTCTCTGAGAATTACTCTGCTTCTCCTTGGTGTCTGGAAGAGCTTGTGAAGGTTATGGAATTCGTAAGAGAGGGTTCGATCACCGTGATACCCGTCTTTTACGACGTGGATCCGTGCCATGTGAGGAGGCAGATTGGGAAAGTCGCTGAACACTTCAAGATGCATGAGGGTAGAGAAGACCATGAGAAGGTGCTTTTTTGGAGGCAAGCATTGAAAGATTTGGGGAATGTCTCCGGCATCTGTTCATCTAAATGGTAAAATTTCAGAACTTTTTACAAGTTTTACTATTACATAAAGTTATATTGAACTCGTGAACTATCAGCAGCATAAATTTATATTTGAACTTGTTTATCTACGAATTAATATTATATCTTTGAAAGTAACGGCTCTATACATATATCAAAATCTTCGATGATAAAATTCGAGTTTTACTAAAAAAAAATTATTAATTCGATTCTAAAGTTTCGATTTTTTTTTTTTTTTGGGTCTTTAGGGAAGATGACTCAAAGATAGTAGACAAAATTACTGAGCTGATATCAAAAAATCTGATGATTGATACAACAAGAATTAATGGGAGTGACCTTCAGGGGATTTATGCACACATGAAAGCTTTTAACCGATTATTGAATTTGAGCTCTAAGAAAAGTGTAAGAGTGATTGGGATTTGGGAGAGAGGAAGCAAGAAAAGATCGGTTTTAGCTAAATTTGTTTATCAGAACATTCATCAACACTTTGAAAGCCATTTTTTCCTGGAAAGTGAGAAAATGGTTTATAAGGATCGTCACATGTTGCATCTCTTTGAAGAGAGGATGAGTCAATTAAGAGTCAAGAACAAAAAGGTTTTGCTTGTGGCTGACGACATCAAAAAGCTTGAACAGTTCGATGCTCTTGCAGATAATTTCAACAATTTTGGTCCGGGGAGTATAGTTATCATCACTACACAAGACAAGCAGGTGCTTTCCTCTTCAGGCATAAATCTTGTTTATGAAGTAGAGTTTCAGAGATTCTTGGAAGTTCATGGACATTTCAGGCAATTAGCCTTCAAAGAGAAAGACATTTCTGCTGCGTAACAAACAGTCAGAGGAGGTA